GCGCAGCAACCGCGCTCGGGTCGTCGCCCATCAGCGAGCAGAGAAAGTCGTGGACGCGGGAGACGAGCTCGACCATCTCGACAGCGCCAAACTTGGCGAGAACACGTTTGAGACCCTTGACGGCGCTCTGAAGGTCCTCCAGCGTACGCATCGGCGGGACGTCAAACATGGTGCGCTGTGCAGGCGACGTGTCGGCGAAATGGGCCAGCTGCAAGCCTTGGCCAAACGCCCAGCTGTAGAGGCCGCGGAGAACGGACGGGTGCGCCAAGAAGCCGGTCGTCACGTCGTTCTGGATCATCTCCAGCAACGACTGCGGGCTTGTCGAGCAGTACACCGGGAGAAACAAGGCGATGGCCACCGACCGCTCGTGCGCTGACGGGGTGAACGGTTGCGCGTCGCTTTGCCCGACGCGGTGGCCGTCGTCCGCGTCGACCACGGTGGCCTCAACCACGGTGGCGTGTTGAGCGGGCACTGGAGCAGCGTGCATCCCGAGTTGCGAGAGCGCGTCCCGCGTCGAGAGCATGACAAACGTGCAGCTCGTGACGTCGTAGAGCATGACGAGCGTCGCGTTCACTTGCGACAAAAGTTGTTGCGGGCAGAGCACTGGGTAGTCGGCGACCGTGGCCACCAGAGACGCTGCGTGTTGGGCCCACCCGGAGCCGCCGGCGAGTGCGCGATACGCCTTCGAGACGGTGGCCGCGGCCTTGGCCACGTCTTGCACTGGCAGCTGTCGTGCGCACGCGCCGTCCAAGGGCCGGAGCACGTAGTCGGCCGCGGCGACGACGGCGAGTGGCGTCGCCAGCGAGATCTGGACCGTCTCTGTGGTCGTGAGGCGCACGATCAGCGTCGCATGGCAGTGGTAGGCGGACCTCGTCGGGGTGGACCTGATCGACCTCAGCATGGAGCTCGGCGCAGTCGCTCCAGGCGGCGTCGTCGTCATCGTCAGCGCGTCGTGGCCCATGGCCGTCCAGCTTCTGTCGCTCGCTCGCCTCTTGCCGATGCGATCGTGGGGTTGTATTTTAACCAATCATAGCGACACATGTCCAATAAATAAGCCAATCATCGTCACGTCGAGATACCGAGCCGACTCATTCATTTTTCATTTGGCCGGACCAAGAGAAGACGAGAATGACCAAGCAAGATGCCAAGGCGGCCACCGCGGCCGACAACGCGATGTTTGGCGGCGCCGAGCGCCAGCTTCCAAGTGTGGCCTCTACGATCGACGAGCTCGGCGCCGCGGCGCCCGCCGTCCAGGCCGCGATCGACGACCTTCAAGGCACCGACGCTGCGGCTCTGCAAGATCACGAGACGGCAGTCGTGAAGGAACTTGCGACGACCGCTGCGCGCATGGCTGACGCTCACAAAGTGCAACATGTCGTCTCGACGGGTACCTTGGCCAGCGCTGCGGACGACTCGGACGAGAAGGAGCCCGCCTTGAAGGTGCGCCGTGTGGACGTTGCCCGCCCGTATGTGCTTAGCCTCCCGCCCGAGATTATCTTCCAACACATCCTCTCGATCGTCGCATGGAAGGATGTCGATGCGTTCATCGAAGCTGTGCCGATGGTTCCCCTGCCACCGGCGTTTGCAAGCTTCATGATGCTTCGTGATGACTTCGACTTGCACCACCACTGGCCGGCCCTCCGTCTGTTCCAAATCCCAGATACGCACTTGCGTCTCGCTCTGGCAGCGCTTCCAGCCTTTCCCTTGATCTGGTTGTTCGTCGACGAGGCGTGGAATGCGGAAGTCCGGCTTGCAGTGACGCTGCGCGAGGTCATTGACGCGCTGCGGCCCGTGCCGCACATCGAGCTGTTTTGGACCAACGAAGTGCCACACACGGCGCTTTTGGACATCGTCAACGCGTATGGCGACAAGGTCGAGGCCGTCCAATTTATCATCTGTCGCTACCTGCCGACAGAGACGGCGGTCTTTGACGCCCTCGCACGCTGCGTCAACATTCGAAGCGCTTCCTTTATTTGCGAGGATTGCCCTAACAAGCTGAGCGCGTGCATTGATGCTGTGACGACGCCAGCACACGGTCGCCTCCACTCGCTTGAAGTGCACTCCTACGGTAGGTTGGACGCCTCTCCTATCGTCGCGTGGCTTCAAAAGCCGTACGCCAAGGCGCTCCGGTTCACCTGCCGTTCTGTGCGCGACGAAGACCGCTTGGCATACGCCATCGCCACGTCGCGTGGGCTCACGTCGCTCCATGTCGACGTAGACAGCGACCGCGGCAAGTTCATGGGTGAGCTGACTCGGTATTCTTTGCACCTGACGGACTTTGGCATGTACGTGCAGTTCGGAGACGACGATGTCCTCAAAAGACTCAACTGCCGCAAGCTCACGTCGCTCAGCGTGGAAGCCATTGTATCAGCGGCGTGGCCGCCTTCTCGGCTCTCGAGCATTTTTCGCTCTTAGGATTGCTCCCGACCAGCTTTGGCGATGGCACCTGCCGTCATTTGGTCACACTGCAGTGCGGCGTCGACAGCACGAAAGTGATGCGGAAGCTTGCCAAGTGGCTCCGGACCTCACGCGTCTTGAAGAAGCTGCATCTTCACGGTGCCTTCGGCGTCACTCTCGACGCCCTCGGAAGCATTCTGCCGCAGCTCGTGCAGCGTCGCCTCGAGTCCTTTTCGTTTGACGCGCACTGGGAGACTAAACACAGCATGCCCCCCGTCAACAAAACCGACGCCGAATTGTTGGCCTACGCGCTCAAGTGCCGTCGCCACCACGAGTGCCCTCTCAAGATCCGCATTTTCATCGACTCGCTCGATGCCCTCGCGGTGCTCTTCCCGGTGCTGGCGACGTGCGCGAACGTGAAGCTGGACGTCAAGTGGCCCGACGAGCTCGACGCCGAAGCCAACGCCCTTGCGGCTCAGCATCGTCTGCGCATCGTGCGTCGCCACCTTTTTGGCGGTGCTTTTGCTCCGCCCGTCTAAGCCCCTGCATGTGCATCAGCGATAATAAGACAATGGTAACTCAAAGATTGGAGCTAGCCTCGTTCAGCTGCATGCACTCGGACCTGCAGCTCG